GAGGCTTTGGTGTTGTCTATTGATGAGTCCCCCACAACACAAACACACACCCATTAGATGGATAACGGATATTATCTCAGCTACAGGAGTGTGCCTGACTGCTTAAACTCTGTATGTGTGTGTGCGTGTGAGAGTGTGTGTGTGAGCGAGAGAGAGACTTTAAAGGAATAGTTTGACATTTTGGGGAATTCCCTCATTCACTTCTGTTAGTTTAGCCTTGCATAAAGACTGGAAGCGGGGGGAAAACAGCTAGTCTGGCTCTGTCCGAAGGTGAAGAGGAATAGTCTGGCACACAACCCGCCATAAAACCACAACTTGTTATTTTTACTCTTCAGTGTTTGTACAGATAAGGAGACAAGATGTAAAATTTTAATTAGTGAGCTTTAGAGGCAGATTGTGTTACTTTCGGAGAGAGCCAGGTGAACAGTTTCCCCTTTTTTTTTTTTTTCCCCAGTCTTTATGCTCATCTAAGCTAACTGACTGCCACAGACCAGAGGGTGGTATCATCTAACTCTCAGCAAGAAAGAAAATATTATTTCCCAAAATGTTGAACTATCCCTTTAATGTTGTCAAATCTAGGTTGCAGTCAAATCTCTCCCTTGCTGTTTGTGTACAAAGTCTTGTGCGTATTCGATGAAAAACTTTGTCCCGTCTTGTTCATGTTTGAGAGGCTGCTTGGATGCGTTGTTGACGTGCGGATGTATGTGTGTGTGTGTGTGTGTGTGTGTGTGTGTCTGTGTGTGTGTGTGTGTGTGTGTGTGTGTGTGTGTATAAGCTGACTCTAAATCGTCTGTGACATATTTTTCTACTTTTTCTGTTGCGGTGATGAATCCTTGCGATGAACACAGCTCAGTTGGGGACCACGGAAATATATTTACACTACGAGAAGAAGAAACCTAATGCAATATATGCAGTGTAGAGATGTGTTGTTCTTCATGATAGACTCGGGTGCTCTTTCGCTGAAACAATTCAGCCTTTAAAGCAAATCCCATCAAAGACAGCCAGTCTCAGAGATAACGTGCGATCTGTTCCTCTGTTTAGAAACATGGTAAAAGGATCATATCTTAAATTAAGACGACTTTACCCCCTAATCCTTCTGTATTCAACCGATCGTGACGCATGTTTGTATCGTATTGTCTGACTTCTTGGACGTCCTGTATGCCAGCTATTTTTGTCTAAAGCAAGAACTTGTGTTTTCATTGTTGTATGATCACATAGATTTGTTGCTTGCAGTGATTGTTCTTAATCAAAGTGGGGTTAAAATTGGTGAAACTTGAGTATGTGTTCTGAAAGTAAGTTAGTGGTGACTGTGCTCCCTGTTTACCTTAGACCCAGGTAACTCATACATATATATATATATATATATATATATATATAAAGAGAGAGATAGGAGTGTGCTGACTGCTTAAACTCTGTATGTGTGTGTGCGTGTGAGAGTGTGTGTGTGAGCGAGAGAGAGACTTTAAAGGAATAGTTTGACATTTTGGGGAATTCCCTCATTCACTTCTGTTAGTTTAGCCTTGCATAAAGACTGGAAGCGGGGGGAAAACAGCTAGTCTGGCTCTGTCCGAAGGTGAAGAGGAATAGCTTGGCACACAAACCCGCCATAAAAACCACAACTTGTTATTTTTACTCTTCAGTGTTTGTACAGATAAGGAGACAAGATGTAAAATTTTAATTAGTGAGCTTTAGAGGCAAATTGTGTTACTTTCGGAGAGAGCCAGGTGAACAGTTTCCCTTTTTTTTTTTTTTTCCCCAGTCTTTATGCTCATCTAAGCTAACTGACTGCCACAGACCAGAGGGTGGTATCATCTAACTCTCAGCAAGAAAGAAATATTATTTCCCAAAATGTTGAACTATCCCTTTAATTGTTGTCAAATCTAGGTTGCAGTCAAATCTCTCTCCTTGCTGTTTGTGTACAAAGTCTTGTGCGTATTCGATGAAAAACTTTGTCCCGTCTTGTTCATGTTTGAGAGGCTGCTTGGATGCGTTGTTGACGTGCGGATGTATGTGTGTGTGTGTGTGGTTGTGTGTGTGTTGTGTGTGTGTGTGTGTGTGGTGTGTGTGTGTGTGTGTGTGTGTATAAGCTGACTCAAATCGTCTGTGACATATTTTTCTACTTTTTCTGTTGCGGTGATGAATCCTTGCGATGAACACAGCTCAGTTGGGGACCACGGAAATATATTTACACTACGAGAAGAAGAAACCTAATGCAATATATGCAGTGTAGGATGTGTTGTTCTTCATGATAGACTCGGGTGCTCTTTCGCTGAAACAATTCAGCCTTTAAAGCAAATCCCATCAAAGACAGCCAGTCTCAGAGATAACGTGCGATCTGTTCCTCTGTTTAGAAACATGGTAAAAGGATCATATCTTAAATTAAGACGACTTTACCCCCTAATCCTTCTGTATTCAACCGATCGTGACGCATGTTTGTATCGTATTGTCTGACTTCTTGGAGTCCTGTAATGCCAGCTATTCTTTGTTCTAACAG